CACAAAATAATTACTTCTTTGTCTTAAGACGTTAACTTTCATGTCTCAAGACAAAGACAGTGTCTTCACTCATACGTCTTAAGACGTTCTTGAGACGTCTTGGCATAAGAAAATGTCTAAAGACATCTTATAAATACTGTCAAGACATCTTAAGACACAGTGACAGCTGGGCATGTTATTAACATAGTCATTAATGTCAGAATCAGAATCAGCTTTATTGGCCAGGTTTGCTTACACATACAAGGAATTTGGTTTTGGTTACAGGAGCTCACCATGCACAGTATCAAACATTTACATGTAATAAATAAAAAAAAATAAAATATAGGAATACATCTCACACACACACACACACACACACACACACACACACACACACACACACACAGTCATACCTTACATTGTGCAAAATATGTGACTTAAGTTAAAGTGCTGAGTGCAGCAGCAGTTAAAGTGGACATAGTGGCAAAGAAAGGGATCAATGAGGTAACAGTCCAATAAGTGGGGTAATAAGGCAGGTAAGTAAGATGCTAGAATAAAACACTGGTCTGTGACGGTAGTTTCAGAGGATGGAATGTTGAGTGTGATAATTTATACTAATATATTTAGATGTGCAGTTTAGAAGCTGGAATATTGTTTTTGTGTAATATTAACTGTTTAAGAGGGTGATGATTTGTGTGTAGAAGCTGTAGCCTGGATGTCCTGATCCTCATTTGGCTGAAGCACTGGCCTGAGGGAAGGAGCTGGAACAGGTGGTGGCCAGGGTGTGACGATTTATTTATTATTGTGCATTTATTAAAGGCAGAGTGTATTTCAGTGTGTGCTAAGTTGGTATGCTAATCATGTATTTGAGTACACTGCAGTATAAGTAAGCACAGGAATGGTTTGAAAATACTTGATTGTACAGTATTTGTAAATATAATTATATACTGGATCTACATAAATTGATATACAGTTAATTTTAGAACATTTTTAATGTATTTTCAGAGTTCAGTTTGGCAGCACAGACTAGTATACTTATTTTCACTACTCGAGTATAATTTAACATGACTAGTATATTTAGTATAGATAAAGCATGACTTATATTAGTACATTTAGTAGCTATTTAGTGCAAATTATTGGTTCCAATATAACATGTCTTCAGTATATAACTAAGCACTACTTAAGTATACTTTTTCACAAGGGAAAGTCATGTCAAGTTTTCAGGAAGAGTAAAATCTATTCACATTAAATATGCACAGTCGATTGCAATTTAATGAAGCACATTTTCAACACAAACTTAAACTTTTTCAAGTATACTTTGTTGAAGCACATATTTAACACGTGTTATTTTTGTGAAAGTATAGTTTAAGCATAAAGCACATTCATTGTAAGCATAATTTGATGAAGCACTGTTTTAAAACAAAAATAAATTGTGTTTTTAGGCAAACTTCATTAAAATATATTTTAGTACAACAGTAACACATAATCCAAGGACACACTTTGCAAAAGTATAGTTTTATCATAAAATAAGCACAGTATATATTTATATGAAGTATATATTTAGTACGAAATTAGCACACCCACATGAATTATACTTTTTCAAAGTATTCTAAAATATTGATTCAGTAGTTAAAAATATACTTGGAACATAAAGTTGAAGACTAAAACTATTAGACTTTATATTAAAGCATTTGGCTTTTTCACAAGGGACATTCTACTTATATTAACATCTCAAGACACAATATATATCTGCACACTTGTGGTCTTAACAAGTGCTTGCACACTTGATAAATTTGGAAACACATCACATTAGTGTACACTTTAGCACAAACAAAAACTGCAAGTGTGGACTTTGGGACAGGTCAAAGGTTTCGCTGAGGTTTACGGCAAGTAAGTAAAGCATGTCTTCAACTCATATTTGAATATTTGATACTAATATATTCCTAAAATGTTTTGTGGGCTTCAGGCATGCTTTAAGTAAAGATAGTTTTTAATAGGTGTTTTTAAATGGGGCAGTAATGGTATCTAGCACTGTGAAAACATCTCTATGTATTACATGTATGTATGTATGTATGTATGTATGTATATATAAATAAATTAATGATATTTAAACAAACAGTATGCACAGTCACTTGAAATATTTATGAAAAGTTTTAACTGTAACACTTTATAGTAAGGGTACATGATCAGACAATAGTTAAGGCTAATGAATAATTAATTAGAAAGTAATTATTCATTGATCAGGAAAAAATGAATGTCATAAAAACAATCATAACATTAAATCACTCAGCATTAACTCGGCATGTAACAATATATGAATATAAAGGTAATAGACTTTAATCAACATCTGAATATATTAGGGATAAATGTGTTAATGCATGCATAAAGCAAGTTAATACACATCAGCCTACTGCTAGCAGCTCCACTGATTTTATTCTGTTCATGTAATTTATACTAGTACTTCTGTCATGCTGCAACATCATACTCATACCTATAGAGCTTACACCGATCAGGCATAACATTATGACCACCTCCTTGTTTCTACGCTCATTGTCCATTTTATCAGCTCCACTTACTATATAGGTGCACTTTGTAGTTCTACAATTACAGACTGTAGTCCATCTGTTTCTCTGCATACTTTGTTACCAAAATAGGCTATTTAATTAAGATTTGTATTGTCCTAATATACCACTTTTATTAGATAAATACAATTTATGTTGATATTTTAAAAAATTAATTATATTCAAAACGTTTATTAATAGATACACAGGATTTTGGAAATTCAACTTTTTCTCCTGCTGAAAATTAGTTATTTTTCTTCACCAGTAGATCAGATCAAATCAAATCAAATCAAATCACGTTTGTCACATCACATTACACAGGTGCAAAGGTGAGTGAATATATATATATAAATTTCTAATATATGTTAGAAACATAAATATTAGAGTTAGAAAAATATATTACAGTCTAATGCATATCTTTTCTTATACATAACAATAAAGAAATACACATTAGACTCTAATATATACACAATATACACATTAATATACACTAGTATTGCACTATTTCCAATGTACAGTTTGTACAGTAATAAGTTATGAAATAAAACTATGTACAGCTGTACACATTTCCATATGTGCAATTGGTAAGTCTGAGGTGGATAAATAAATGAGATGCAGGGCACACAGAGAACATAATATTGATAGGAAAATCTTCCATGTTATACAAGATATGGATAGAAGATGTGCAAGATGTCAATCTACATATGTGTAAGTATAGATTTGCTAGATCGAAGGTGCAGTAAGATCAGAGTGAGTCTGTTTGAGGTGTGGATGAGGTGTACATTGTCCATGGAGATCATCATGATGATGACTCAGAGGTGTAGTGACAGGCCTATAGACCGATATACCAGCACTACTGTTCAGCAGCCTGATGGCCCGGAGGAAGAAAAGGCTGGTTCTGGACTTTATGCTTCTGTACCTCCTGCTGCTCGGCAGCTGTGAGAACAGACAGTGGCTTGGGTAGGTGGAGTCCTTCAGAATCCTCCTGGTCTTCCTCAGGCAGCGGCTGTATGTAAATCCAGGAGGTTTGGAAGCTGGACCCTGATGATGTGCTGGGCTGTCCGCACCACCCTCTGCAGAGCTTTCTGCTCGAATGGCAGTGCAGTTTCCATACCAGGTGGTGATGGAGCTGTTAGAATGCTCTCCACAGTACATGTGTAAAATGTTCTGAGGACACAGGGGTTCATGCCAAACCTCCTCAACCACCTGAGGTAGAAGATGTGCTGTTGTGCCTTCTTTACCACCCATGTGGTGTGTTTGCTCCATGTCAGTTCCTCTGAGATGTGAACACCAAGGAACTTGAAGCTGCTGACCCTCTACAGTGGCTCCATTGATGGTGATGAGGGGTGTGCACTTTCTCTTGCTTCCTGAAGTCCACTATGAGCTCCTTGGTCTTGTTGACATTGAGAGAGAGGTTGTTCTCCTGGTACCAGTGTGTCAGGAAGCTGACCCCTCTGTAGGCCTCCTCGTTGTCATTGGGGGTCAGGCCTACAGTCGTGGTGTCCTCTGCAAATTTGATGACATTGGTGCTATGTCTGGCTTAACAGTCGTGGGTGTACAGAGAATACAAGAGAGAGCTGAGCACACAGCCCTGAGGAGCTCCAGTGTTAAGGGTCAGTGAGGAGGAGGTGATGTTGCCCATCCTTACCACCTGGTGTCAGCCCACCAGGAAGTTCAGGATCCAGCTACACAGAGAACTGTTCAGACCCAGATCCTGAAGCTTAATATCCAGCCTTGAGGGCATGATGGTGTTGAATGCTGAGCTGTAGTCCAAAAACAGCATTCTCACATACGTGTTCTTTTTGGCCAGATGGGAGAGGGCAGTGTGTAGAGTCAAGGCTATCATCAGTGGATCTGTTCTGTCTGTAAGCAAACGGCAGTGGGTCCAGAGTGGCTGGTAGTGAGGAGTGATGTGATGGTCCAAGCAACCAGGCACCAGTCATTTAGAGTATTAAGTCTCAGTTCAAGTCCTGAGCCAGTGAAGGCAAGTCTCAAGTCGAGTGCCAAGTTAATAGTCCTAATCTTCCTAAACAAGTCAGTATGCATTATTGAGCTAATTTAAGGCCATAACACTGAATAATAGTAACAGTCCTATAAACTTTTAATGACAGCACATTAGTAGTGTATGGCTGTATATTATTTATTTATTTATTTATTTACTCCTCCAACTAAAACGCAAATCCCATGGTACACAGATTACCATGACGGGCATGCACAAGGAGTATACACAAGGAGTAGTGCAACAACACATGAAAATAATTTAAAAGTACTACTGAGCTTAATTTAAAACTTTACAACTGCTAGTTTGAATTAAATTTAGACAATGTCAGAAACCAAAATGACTGAGCTGAACAAAGTTTACAGAAAAGACAGCAAAATGATGGTGAATGTCTGAAGCTGAAGCACCTCACTGCTGCATTTAAGGTGGAACAACAAATTCCAATATGAAAGGGCAAATAAGTCAACTTCAGCCTGGTGGTGAATGTTGTGCTTGTTTTACCTACTGAAGCTGTTAAAATCGGTCGAACAGAGAGAGCTGTTACTTTAGTTTTGCTACTATGAGGAAAATGGTCAGTTTGCCTGGTGAGTTCCTCCAGAGTTTAAGCACTGAGTGAGGGCACATTGATGCTTTTGTTTCCAGCTTATGGAGGCAAACTTGAACTCTAATGCTTCTCTTGTTGTCCAAAATAAAATAAACCGAGCATAAACACAGTAACAGACATCTGACGACGTTGCTGTACATCAAATTTCTGGCAGGAAAGGAATCCATTCACAGAAGTAACTGACTGTGTAGAGTCCTGTTTGCAGTCAGATGCCTCTCCACGTTTTTTCCACTTTTAGGTCTTGAGTCTTTCCAAGTCATGAGCCCCAAGTCTGGGTCAAAGTCAAAATCATTGGTGTTTGAATCAAAGTGGAGTCGCAAGTCTTTCTCGGTTTTGTCGAGTCTCAAGTCATCAAAGTTGTGACTCAAGTAGGACTTGAGTCCAAGTCATATGACTCAAGTCCACACCTCTGGTTACCACTTTCTCTTAGGATTAACAAGCATTATACATCTTTTCATAAAGAAACAATCAATGCTTACTTTATAATGAATTGAGGCATGTTCTGCACATTGTCCTTACTCTGACACACCTCAGTCAGGACATAAAGATGGGGAATCCCTGAATTAAGAATTCTTATGTTTCTAGGAGGAAAGCACTAAACTGTCTATCAATTAACTAATTATCAACTATTTTATTTGAGTATAGTGGTAAGTGTAGGATAAAACATTCTCTCATGAGACACTCTGTCAACTTAGGAGTTAAAAGGAGTCACTATTTTAACAAGGATGAGTTCATGTTGAAGTGTGTTGATCATGTTGTTACCATGACATCTGGTGCTCCTCCCTCCTGTACACCATTTCATCACTAATGTTGGGTCATCCACTAACATGAGCAGTTCAACATGTGACAGATCACTGAAGGTGCAGTCACTGGTGTACAGGAAGTGATGTCATGGGAAGATCACACAGTCCTGTGCTGCAGCTGTGTTTACAGATTTGACCAATAAGAATCAAAACACACAAAGTACCATGTAGAACCATATACTGAGTGTGTGTGTTGTACTAAGACTTCATCCTCTCCTCATAACCCTCTGTGTGTGAGAGCAGATCAGCTGGATGGTGTTCAGATGCTGTAAGACAGAGAAGAGGAGAAAATCATCAGACATGAACTCACACTGATAGGTCATTAACACAAACCTATCTAGGACCTGTCCGGTCATGTCAGGGACTTCTCTGAAAAAAAAAAAAAACAGGATTTAAATTGTAGTTTTAACTACAATTTACTTCATAGAGCATGCAAAATGTTTAAAGTTTGCACCATCAGGTTCTAAATTCTATTTTAAAAATTCAGTTTATCTGTGTACACAATGACTAGCTGAGGTAAAATATTAACTGGGTATAAAGCAACACTTAAAATGATGTTTCAATTTAAATGAACTAGTTTCATGTTAGTTCTATTTGTATAATAGTATTTGTTCACTTATCTTTAGATTCTTCATACTCAACACATTGTTTCTCTCTCTCTCTCTCTCTCTCTCTCTTTGTGTGTGTGTGTGTGTGTGTGTGTGTGTGTGTGTGTGTGTGTGTCTATAGAGACATTTAATCAGTAACTCACTGTATTTTCTTCAGTTTACATTGTGGATCCTCCAGTAGGTCAGAGAGCAACTTCACTCCTGACTCTCCTGGTTTATTGTAGTTCAGGTTCAACTCTCTTAGGAGAGAGGAGGGGTTTGATTTTAGAGCGGAAGCCAGAGCAGCACAGCCTTCATCTGTAATACTGCAGTCATTCAGCCTGCAGAGAGGAGAAAAACTCATTATTCTGATAGATCAACATACACACACTCACACAGAGCAATAAGCTGATGATCTTACTCCAGTTTTTCCAGTTTACAGTGTGGATTCTTCAGTCCAGCAGAGAGCAGCTCCACTCCTGAATCCTGCAGCAGTTTATTGTTACTCAGGTCCAGCTCTTTTAGACTTGAGGAGTTTGAGCTGAGAGCTGAGGACAGAGATGCACAGCTTTTCTCTGTGAGATTACAGTCATACAGCCTGGGAGAGAAATAATGATACATCAGAACACTGACATCACACACACATGCACCTGTGTGTGTGTGTGTGTGTGTGTATGTATATATGTGTGTATATGTATGTGTGTGTGTGTGTGTATGTATATATATATATATATATATGTGTGGTGTGTGTGTGTATATATATATATGTGTGTATATATATATATATGTGTGTATATATATATATATATATATATATACACACATTGTTATGACCCTATATTGACTACAGAACAGAGGGGAAATGCCCAAAGCCACCACCAGTGGGACCGCCTATAAAAGGGAGACGTCCAGGAGGAAGTGCGGTGCTTTGCTTCTGCCATGGTTTCCGTTGCTTCTGCTATAGAGCTGTGCTGGTGTGAAAGCCTGAATGTTGGTTTATGGCTTATTGGCGCTTTGTTGTTTGAGATTTTCATAAAAATTTCCCTTTCCTCCCCTAATGTTCCATAACTCTGCATAAAGCCTTGGTACAGAGGTCTCTTTTTTATGTTGTGGCCCCACCTAGACCAAGTCATAACACACATACACATACATACATGTGAAACAGAAAAAATAACACTTTATTTAAGTAAAATTATTATTTTAGTAGAATTTGCCAAAATTAGTTCTAAAAGAGAATACAATTGAACATATGTTTCTATGGATGCACAGCGACACATGCTGGTCAGAGAGAGTACTGCATATATAAAAAGCAGCCTCCTACTATATTCGGCTCAGTCCGGTTTTGCCACTGAAGAGAGATGCTATTAGAGTGGAGAAGCACGATACTGACTAGCTGCTGTTTTTTCTTCTGATTATACTCAAACAGGTATGCATATTGTATTTTCCTTGCGTAATATTCCACATGTATTGTGCTCCCTTTTGTGTTTTTTGCTATTTTATTGTATTACCATATAAGCTGAGCTGTTTAATACTGAAAAGTTGAGTCTACGCTGTAATGATTCATGTTGTAATTGCTGCAAGTTCAGTCCATTTTTTGCCACTGAAAAGATACGCTGTTAGAGTGGAGAAGTACAGTACTGACTAGCTGCTGCTTTTCCTCTGATTATACTCAAACAGGCTCAAGCATGTGTGACTCCAGTAAAAGCTCAGAACCAACTTCTTGTTGCAGCTTTATTGATGGACCACGACAGCGGGGTTACAATGGTGCCGTGACTCCTCCTTTCACCCTCATCATTACAGATGGTTCTGCTGTGAGTTACTTCTGGACCTATGATGTCGCAGGGGAGTAGAATTGTACTTCAAGTAATCCACTCAAATTTGCATTAACCAGGACGGAGTAAACCATTTTTTAGTTTTTTCATTTTTTGCTGAATTACCACCATTTCAGACTGGTTCATCACATTTTATGGACCACTTTTATTTTGTGCTTGGAATTTTGCTTATATAATTTGAAATTTTGCTTTCTTTTGCTTTGCTTTTGTTGATATTATTTATTTTATAATTCTCAAATATATTTATTTTATTATTTTTATTTACAGTAAATAACTTTCTGAATGTTTGTTTCATCTAAATCTTTAGATTATTTTGGAAACTTGCAATAGAGTATTGTCAAGATAGCCCTAATTTGGTTGGGGGAAAAACCAAGGGTGCAGTACACTTTGCCGATACAGGGGAATGTTTACAACACTCAGTTGTTATTGACATGACAGACACACATACACAGACACATACAGTACTTCTCTATGCTTAAGCCTACCCTAAATGCTAGAGATTCTGATAATGCAGTCAGGGAGTTAGGAGCAATGGTTGAAGAACTGGGTAAACATATTGGTGACATTGTCACTGCCAGACTTTTATCTTCTAGAAAGTTTGAGTAATTTATGGCATTTTGAAACAGTACTTAGTACATTGTCATACACTAGCATGCCACGTGCCAATTTTTACAAGACACTACTAAAACACAATGAGTGTCCCATAGATTATTGGGTTCATGTTAATAAAGCTATGGACATTGCTGATGAGTGCCTTATGCAGATGAAGGCAAACACATGGAAGACATTGGTATGAAGGTAGCAATGATGTTTATTTGCAACTGCCCTGGCCTTGTTTGTGTTCAAGACCAAGCCCATTTGGAAGTGGACTGCTAAGGAGGTACAGGAATGGATTGATAAGTTCCAGAAAGAGAAAAAAAGGCAGATGATTTCTGCTACTAAGACGCCTACTGATGTGAAACAAAACAATGTAGCTGTTTGTGATTATAATGAGTGTGCAGATGATTAAACTATGGAACTAATGACACTCAAGCAGAAGTCAGTGTAGTCCCGCAAGCCATCAGCTCCAGATCCACCTACTCATTCCGGTCTCGATCGCATGGCTGACATGCTGTCCAAGGTTTTGGATGTTCTAACTACTAGGCAGCAGTGTCTTTGCCAATCTCACCATAACACATCCAGCAATGCCCCCCAACAAATTCAAGTCTGTCGCATTTGCAAAGATCACTTGCATACTACATTTTCACACTGTAGAGCTGAACACTTGTGCGCCAGGTCCCACCAAACAGAACTGCCTAGCAGCTACAGCACACAGTCTATTCCCATGTCTACCAGGGAATCTACCTCACTCTAGGTAAATGAGTCAGCCTACATTAGGAGAAGGGAAATGTAGGCTTTAGTCACAATACACTCATGGCAGTCCCTGATCATGAGTCTGCGTATTCTGCTTTTTGTGACAGTTCTCCTGAAACTTCTAAGATAGTTGTACAGAACACACATGTTAACAGCTCAGACAGCATCTTTTATACTCCTGTAGTTATCAGTGGTCAATTCACAGTGGGTGCTATGCTGTACACTGTCAGACTCCATTATGCAGTTACCTTGTCTCCTGGTCACGAGCATGAGGTGTGGGGTAACCTGCCTGAGAAGAATTGTGGGCTCCAAGTAGGGCTGGGCGATATTGCAAAAAAGTGAAATATCTATTATTTTCAAATTTATTAACGGTTCTCGATTCCGATTTGGCTCTTGCATAAAGCCATTGAAAAAAGATTTCATTTTGGCACTTTAATTTAAAAGACTGCAGAAGTGCAAAAATATTAACATTACCACCTATAATTATTAAATTGTGCAAATAGTGGTTACTTTTAAATATCCTTTCAAAGGACTCAAACTGTGCAAGCACAACAAAATTTGTGACAAAAAACAATCATTACAACATAAAAGAACCATCTTAGAGATATTCTTTTAAGAATAGCAAGAAAGCAACTCTCTGTGCAAGCATAATCTCCACACATTAAGGAAAGTCCAAAACCACATGTTCTTTACAGGTTTCTTGAAAGGAACACAAGCCTATCTACTGTTTCAGGCTTGAGAGATGCCCTCTGACAGGTAACAATGTTTCCAGCTGCACTCAAAACTTGCTCAGAAGCGACACTTGTTGCAGGTATACAGAGGTATTTCTTTGCAAGGTTGCTTAGATTGGGGAAGTTTGTTTCATGCAGTTTCCACCAATGAAGTGGGTCTGTATCAGGATCTATGCCAGAGTCAGCTCAGCTTTGATTTTGTCCTCTTGTGACTGGGAGGTGGATGGAGGTGGCACAGTTTTCTTCAAAAAGCTGGCTAATGATTTCTTCCTCTTAGGCACAACTTCACGTTCATCTTGTTGACTGCAAGTTTGCTTGCTTGCTGGTTGCATCTGAACAGTTGTGTCAAGCTGATCTGTGTTTTTCTCTGCTAGCAGAGACATCAACTCTGTAATGGCTCGCTCTTTGATTCCTTCCAGCTTCTCTTGCTTTATGTAAGATGTTTGAAACCGGGGATCCATGAGGGAAGCAATAGACAAGAGTTTATCTGTGGCAGGGTCACTATATTTACTGTTGAGGTACAGAAGTGTGGAGCTTTTGATTTATTTGGTGAGCTCAGTCTCATCCTCCTTTGACTGTAGAATGCAGCTAAACAGTTTGACTGTTAAACAGATGAAGCACTTGTTTGAGGTAGGAGACACTCACATACTCCTCACCCAACAGTGCATCAGTGAACTCCTGTAGTGGACTTACAACAGCTCAAAACAGAAAATGACGCAGCTAATGTTAGCTGTCTTTTAGCGGAGGCTTTGGGGTCGGAAGGCCGCTTGCATTTTCATCGCATTGTTTCATGCATTGCTCCCATTCCACTGGGTGTTTGTGTCGTAAGTGCTGGAACAGATTTGTTGTACTGCTACATTTGGTTGCAACTGTCTTTCGACACAACTTACACTTTATGTGAATTTGTTCAACATCTGACTTCAAATCCGTACTTTTCAGTTCCATACCACTGAACTGATGTTTCCACCTTTCTTTGGTACGAGCTCACTCCTCTGCGAAGCACTGCCAGCCTCCATCTTGGAGTGTTTTTGTGTTTTTTTTTTTGTTTTTTTTTCTATCGAGCGTGGATGAGGTCAGCGCACAGACCTGTGAGAGTCTGCGTTTTTTTTTTTAAGATGCGTTTTTGTACGTCTTGAAAATCTGAATAGTTTTGTTGGTATTTTAATTAAAGTATAAGCAATGTAAATTTGTACAGTCTCATTTGTAACATTCTAACATCGTGTGAAAACATTAAATCGAATTAACCAAATTAATCATGAAAATCGTCCAGCACTAGATCCAAGGCAGCACTGTTATGGTGGAGCTGATGAGCAGTCGTTCTGCCCCACAGAACATTTTAGTTGGTAGGGTTGTCACTCCACTCTGGGGTGATGGCTGGGTGCCACTGAAAATGATCAATCCAAGTGACAAACCTGTGACTCTCAGACGAAATGCCAAAATAGCGGACGTCTACCAGTGTTTGGCACTTGAAGACTTTTTTTTTTACAGATAAGAACTTATCTGTGGTATCTTCTGGTAGCCAAAGCATTGTCAGCACACAAAATGACATCAGTTTGTTGTACAAGGAGCTAAAAGAGCATGGATTGGAAAACATTGATCTTGACTCATGTGACGTCTCAAAGCAGTGCAAACTGGTTATTTGCAAGCTTGTGATTTGCTACAAGAATATCTTTTCCAGACAAGCCCTTGACTGTGGTGAGATTAAGAACCCTTCAGGTTGTCATATAGATGTGTCCCACCAGCCTATTATCAGAAGTTGCATGTGGCATGAAATGACATGGAGGAGAGAGCAATTATTCGGAAATTAACTAGCGAGTTTACGTCTCTTGTTTTGTGCTGGAAAAAGATTGGCAACCTCCGCATTTACTTTTCATTGCTTGAATTCCTGAATGGTGAAAGATGCCTACCCCCAGCCACACCAGGAGGACTGCTGTGCTGCTTTGGGTGGGAATTGATTTTTTTAGTACTATGGATCTGACCTCAGGATTTTATAATGTTCCATTGCATGAGGCAGATAAAAATATACAGCTTTCACTTCCAGTTGGTCTATGAGTATAAGAGACTCCCTCAAGGGTTATGCAACTCACCAACTAGTTTTATGAGGATACATTTTTGGGGACCAAAATTTTTTTATCCCTGTTTTATCTTGATAGTTTTGCCCTGACTGAAACAATGGCCCTAGAGAGGCTTGAATTGAATTGTCTTCCAGAGATTGAAGACAAACAACCTGAAACAATACCTCAGTGCAATTTCTTGGGCATATCATCAGTGGAAAGGGAATATCCACAGACCCATCTAAAGTTAGTGCTATAGTTGAAATTTCATCTAACGACTTGATGTGCCCAGATGGTGTTACACCTTCTGTAAAGAAAATGCAGTCTTTTTTTAGGACTTATGTTGTACCAGAAGTTCATTGAGAACAGCACTGTAATAGCAAAGTCACTATTTAAGCTTATTTTTAGTTGCAAAGAGGGGCAGGAGGAACAAGCTAAGCATTACCACTTCCCAAAGGAAACTCACTGCTGTGAATTGGACTCCTGCTTGTGAGAGAGCTCTAGAAAATCTCAAGGATGCTTTGCTCGCTCATGTTATACTGGCACACCCAGATTTTAGTCAGCCCTTTACTTTATCGACTGACGCTTCCTCTGATGGGCCTGATGCAGTCTTTTCTCAGGTTGTTCCTGGAGAAGAGAGGGCTCGGCCTATTGCCTCCACCAGTAAGTCACTCAACAGAGCTCAGAGCAGATACCCTGCACATTGCCTCAAGTTCCTGGCCTTAAAGTGGGCCATTTGTGACAAGTTCAGCCACTGGTTTAAAGGATATACCTTTACAGTTTGGATGGACAATAACTCACTGACACACATTCTGACTAAGCCATGGTCAGATGCGTGCGAACAGAGATGGGTCACTATACTTGCTGCATTTGTATTCAACATTAAGTATGTGTCTGGTCCTAAAAATATTATGGCTGATGCCTTGAGTCGAGTGTCATTCGCCGAGAATAGAAGCAGCCATCGACTCATTCGTGAGCCATACAAAGACCTACTGAATGAGTCAGTGAGAATATCCAATGCTTCTGTCCAAGACTTGTTCAGGTCATCTGCTGCAAGCCATTATGTGCAGTTTTTCTCAAAACAACAGAAAGTTGTGAGTGTTGTGAGTCAGCAAAAGGCTGCAAGTCTTTCAAGTGCTGAAATTTCTGCTGTTTTTGATAACCATATTGACTGGCTTGCTGGACCTCTCACCTGAGCAATTCATTTCAAAATCATAAGCAGCAATTGTCTGACATTGGTCAAGACATGCTGTTTTCATACCCACTTGAGGAAATATGTGCGAAGCAATTACAGGATGTGGATTTAAACTGTGTGATTACCTATATTGAATTAAAACGTAGGCAGGAGAGAAGGCTAAAGTGTCACAAATGCCCTGAAACTCCTTAAACAGTAGGAGAAGTTGACACTGGAAAATGGAATATTGTGTCGAGTATAAAAGGACCCATTAACAAAATGTAGGAGATTCCAGTTTGTTGTGCCACTATCTTTGAAGGATGAAGTCATGAAAGGATGTCATGATGAGGCAGGTCATCAAGGCCAGTTAAGAACCTCATATCTCACACATCAGAGGTTCTATTGGACTGGCCTTGACCGATGTGAGAAGTTATGTGAAGACATGTACCCGTTGTGTTATTGAAGAGACACTTGAACCAGAAGGATGTGCACAGCTCGAAAGCATTAAATAAACAGCGCCTTTTAGAGGTTGTTTAGCATAGATTTTTGATCTGCTGTGTATCCTAAGGATATGGAGTTTTTTTATGCAAGGAGCAACAGGAACTTTGTTTATTCGAGAGAAGAGCTACTCACACTTTTCAAACAATGAGTCACATTGGCACAAGGCAGTTCCAGAGGATGCCGAGCTGGTGCTAAGTGGAAGGCTAAGTAAATATAGAAATACAGGAAATATAAGCATCTATTACTTCAGTGGTGACGAGGCATGTAAATTTGCTTTCTAACAAGACCAATGAGATTGCAGCTCTGGTTAAAAATCAGAGAACATACCAAGAATGCAGTTTTCTGTGTCATACAGAGACGTGGGTGACTGATGTCTCTCCTGATTAACCAGTTAACGTGGACGTTCCTGGATTCACAACCGTGAGAGCTGATAGGGACGCTAAGCTAAGTGGCAAAAGCAAAGGGGGTGGACTTGCACCATTTATAAACATAAGATGTTGCAACCCAGGGCATGTGACAATCAAGGAGATGATCTGCTGTAGGGACATTGAACTACCGACGATGAGTTTATGACCCTACTACATGCCTAGGGAGCTCTCACATGCCATTGTTGTTTGTGTTTACGTTTCTCCATGGGCAGTTAGAGATGGCATGTGACGTCATACATGCAACTACTGTGAGGCTTCAAACACAACACCCTGAGGAATTCATTGTTATATCTGGTGATTATAATCATATAACTCTGGAGTCAACGTTCACTGTATGTAGACTGCTCTACTAGGAAAAACAGGACAATTTATCTTTTTTATGGCAATGTGAAGAATACATATACTGCCACCCCCTTACTCCCACTAGGAAAATCAGACCACAACCTGATCTACCTACAAGAAATGGTCTCGTGCAGATAAAGAGACTCTTGGGGACTGGTTTGCAACCTCTGACTGAAGTGTGCTGCAGGAATCAGATGGCAAGGATACCGAGGGGATCACACACTGCATAATGGACTACCTAAACTTTTGCATGGACATTGTTGTTTCTGTGAAAACTGTGTGCTGCTTTGCTAACAACAAGCCCTTGATAACCAGCAACATTAACAACCTCCTCAATATGCAGAAGAGGGCCTTTAAAGACAAGGATCAGAAGAAGCCTAGGAGTATTCTTAGGGAACTTAAGTTCCAGTTGTGGGAGTCCTACAAGAGGAAGGTTGAGCAAAAAAGATGAGGGAGGTCTGGGATGGTATGAAAACCATTACTGATTGCATGCAGAGGAATGTCAGTATAGCAAATGGTAATGTGGAGAGAGCAAATAAATTTAACCTGTTCTATAACCGGGTTGAACACCCTGTTCCAGCTGTGTGCTCAGCCATTACCCCTGACTGCGATTAGGACAGGTCCCTAAACTGTGGAAGACTTCATGTCTCACTCCTGTGTTCATGATTACAGGCCAGGTGTGTTAACATCACATGTAATGAGACCCTAAAGTTACTGCCCCTCCATCTCCTTAGACCCCAGGTTTGACATGCACTGGACCCCTTGCAGTTTGCCTACCAGGAGAAGGTGGGTGTGGATGACGCCATCCCCTGCCTCCTCTACCGGAGCAACTTTTACCTGGACAAGAGAAGTGGCACTGTGAGAATCATTATTTCTCCCGTGCCTTTAACACCAATTAGCTCCTCTTATTAAGTGAAAAGCTAGCAAGGATGCAAGTGAACACAAACCTAGTGACCTGGATCACAGATTACCTCACTGGCAGACCACAGTATGTTAAGCTGAGAGACTGTACATCTGAGACTGTGGTCAGTAGCACAGAGGCTCCACAGGGGACTGTGCTTTCCCCTTTTCTCTTCACCCTTTACACTGCAGACTTTAGGTACAACTCAGAGACATGCCACAAGCAGTTCTCTGATAACACTGCTATTGTGGAATGTGTTAGGAGTGGACAGGAGAAGGAGTACAGGAGCCTTGTGAAGGACTTTATTGCATGGTGCCAGCTGAATCAACTGCAGTTGAACATTTCCAAGACCAAGGAAAAGGTGGTCTGGACCACTCCGTGACCTGTCTCCAATGATGGGGTTGGTGTGGAGGTTGTCAGGACCTATAAGTACCTTGGGTTGCAGCTGGATGATAAACAGGACTAGAGTCCTTTAACATCTGTAGGAAACTCCTGCTGATGTTTTACCAGTCTAAGGTCGTCAATACTCTTATGCTGTTGTGTACTGGGATACTGTGTGCATATATAGTCTGTATAGTCCTATATTAGCCTTGCTTACACTAACTTAATTCACTCTCATACATTTATGCACACTGACTTTTGCACTGTTGAATTGTAATATTAACTATTTGGCCCACATTTTTATAGATCATTATAGGTCCTGTAACCATGTTATAGGTCCAACAGTCCGAGTATTCAATGTTATACATAGCTCACACACATTAGATAGTATCTTTTCGATTGTGTGTATTGTTAATTTTTATGGTGTATGCTTAGCTTGTCTTAAATTTCCTTTGGGATTAATAATGTATCTTTCAAGTTCAAACAGGTGCTGAAAAGTAGATATGACTATGAGAGTACTTTCTTACCAAATGTTACCCTTTTGTTTTACACAACTATAAAATTGAGTTTTTGTTGGTTTTTTTTTCTGTGAGATCTGTCAACTGCTTTGAAAAAAATATGGTAACAATGAGTGAAAGTAACAAGAATGCATTAACATACTTGCAAGAGAACACTTTTCTTACAAAAACATGCAGATGTATGGAAGTGTGTGTGGCATTTACAAGCACAGTGACAAAGTAATAATCTTACTCCAGTGTCTCCAGTTTACAGTGTGGATTCTTCAGTCCAGCAGAGAGCAGCTCCACTCCTGAATCCTTCAGGTCATTGTTACTGAGGGTCAGTTCTCTCAGACAGGAGGAGTTTGTGCTGAGAGCTGAAGATAGAGATGCACAGCTTTTCACAGAGAGATTACAGTTAAACAGCCTGGGAAAGAAATGATGATACATCAGAACATTTGAAATCCCACACACAGCCACACAAATTTCCCTCATTCTCTCTCCCTCTCTGTATGTCTCTGTCCCTCTCTCTCATTATCTCTTTCTGTATCTCTATATTCTGTCTAGCTGTATCTCTCTTATCTCTCTTTAAATCTCTGCTTCTGTCTATATTTGCATTTTTTATCTCATTGTCTCTCTCTATCATTTTCTATTTCATCTGATACATACATTTATCTTTACATCCCTAGTGATAAGTTGATGATCTTACTTCAATTTCTCCAGTTTACAATGTGGATGCTGTAGTCCAGCAGAGAGCAGCTCCACTCCTGAATCCTGCAGGTCATTGTAACTCAGGTCCAGTTCTCTCAGACTTGAGGAGTTTGGGCTGAGAGCTGAGGACAGAGCTGCACAGCTTTTTTCTGTGAGATTACAGTTAAAAAGCCTGGGAGAGAGATGATGATACATCAGAACACTGACATCTCTCTCTCTCTCTCTCTCTCTCTCTCTCTCTCTCTCACACACACACACACACACAGTTAGACAAGCAATGATTGGGTCATATTACATAAACTTACTATGTTTATTTCTAACTAAAAATCTGACAAAATCAGCGTAAGACTTTTTTTCTATTTATACATGCTGATGTTTTCTTGATTTAAACTACTCCATTGAGATTGATATTCAATTGTTATGTCTGTTACCAAGAAAGCCAACATACACACAGCTGGGACTTGAACCTATAATGACAATAATGTGAACGATTATGTAAATTACAGTTAACTAGACAAATTTCAGCTTCATTGGCCACCATTACTTTATATGCTACCTGCCACAGATGCCTATAAACAATACGAGTATATTTTTAATAGAACAGCTAACAGTAGAAATGGAAGCTTAAAACAGAAGTTATGACACTGTTTAGATTTATCCTAAACTTAAGACAGCATTTAGGAAATTCTGTCAAGGTGTTTCTGTACTTAGATAATGAACTTAGGAAATGCTATTCTGTAATATTTACTGTAATAAATTCAGTCCTAACTGAAACGTAAGGCTTCAGTGTAAGTATGTTTCTGTAATATGGTCCAGAACACCATCATCATACATCAACAGACTTGCATACAAACACTAGCAAACAATAATGAATGTCTTGATTAAGTGTTTTTTCCTAATCTGATCCAAGCACATTAGGAGTACGCTAACTGTGAGTTCTGTTACATCAGCTAACAGACACCTTATTTTTATTATGTGTATAACTATTAGTCCTTTCTGGCTGTAAATTGGGAAACACGCTGGCTTCTGTTTATTTACAAGGTGCTTAATGGTCATATGCCAGCTATTTATTTTGACTGTAAATAAAGAATGGAAATTATCAAAATTGTTCTGTTGTCTGGATTACCCTTTGGTTTCCTAGAGCTTTTCCTGAACTGGGAAAATCTGCTTTTAGTCACTGTTCATCAACAAGCTGGAAATTATTACAGGAATTTCTATCAGGTATCAGTGTGTTATAGGCAATAATGTGCATGACTCATGAATACTGTGGTTTTAATAATCAATCATGCACAAATTCTGGAACAAAGTTTTTTTAATGAGGCCCCAATTCACTGACCACCTCCACTCGGCTTGCAACAGTCTAATTTGACTTTAGTTGGTTATTCGTTAACAATTTTTATGTTTGTCTTAATCAATTATATAATTTGGTTTTGTTTAACCTGATCATTTTAATTTGATATTTTTAGCTCTTTCAGTTACTTAATCTTCACTTTGCTTACATTGTGGCATCATGGCAAAGAAGGAGACACAAGGAAGCCATAAATCTGCAGCAAGAAGTGTTTTTTTGTTAACAATTGCAGAAAGGCACATAACACACAGCTGAACCCATGAAGGAGGTCACTATTAGCCATCTACCTCTACTCCATGAGTAGCCGCTCACATGGCCTGCCTCCAAAGCTTCTCAGTAGCATATCACTACATAGCTTCCCCTTTAAAGGTCAACTGTTCTGGTGACCCACCAGCCTGAGCCAAGGTTTTGGGGTGCACAGAGTCCTAGCCAGTCCAAACACTGCTGGCCTCTCTCGCCAAATACCTTGAAGCTCTTTGTAGCGCACTATCCCACTTCTGATACCAAATGTGGCATCTTGGCAAAGAACGAGACACAGGGAAAGCCATGATTCTGCTGCAAGAAGTGCTCTTTTATTAACACCAGCAGAAAGACACTCAACTAAACCTACAGGGGAGGTCATCATTAGCCATCTACCTTTAAAACATGACCCCCTCCAACAAAACTGCCTTTACAAAATGTTACTTGGACTGAGTATATATACTTCATTTCTGTATTCTGAATATATATTCCCAATATTTGTATCCTAATACTGTCTAAAATAGGTTTTTGTGCAAATTTAGCACACATGGGATACAACTTTCTACACCCTGCTCCAGGCTTGAATCACCACCAGAGATTAGAGCGACTGTACTTGCTGTCATTTATATTGTAAATATTACATGGGCGTTTACGCAGTTGAGGAAACTGTGGAATTTAAACATGCAGCTAAACTGTGTACCTGCATGCAGTAATGGGCATTTATTCAATATTCTGAATCATGTAACTACTCTTTACTCAGCAGTTTGTTTCATGCACTGTAATAAGGGCACCATAAAATACATGCCCATAAATGACAAGTGTTACTAAAATAAAAGAAAGGCACCATAAAATACAAGTGTTACTAAAATAAACTTTCTGCAAAATTTGTAAAATTTACAAAATTATATAAGTAAATTATGTTAGATGTTGATGGATTGTTGCATATTAATTTATTTAAAAATTATTTTGAGTAAAAAATTCTAGTTATATTCTCATTACACCAACTGACTAAAACCTGTTATTCCACTTGATGTTGCTATTAATTGTGTGCATCAAATGTTACTTTATTTAGCACTCTAAACCTGAACAGTGCTAGGAGAATGCATACTGCAAATTAAGAAATTAAGCACAACAATTAGAAGACTGAATGTTATGATTATCTGTCCAGATGCTAAAACCATAGCATTAATAGAAAGAGGTCTGAAATTGCATGTGATATATATATATATATATATATATATATATATATATATATATATATATATATATATATATATATATATATATATATATATATATATTGGTAAAACAAGTTAATGTTGTACCTGCAACAAGAAGCAATGCAGCCCCAGTGCAAGCTGAACTGCTTTTGTAAATCAGCACTGACATTACAACGAAAATGATAATGAGCTACTTATGCAATCAATAAATCAATAATCCAATTCTCAGATGAGAAAAAAAAAAATCAAGAAACATTTTAAAGTGATTATTGTGTAATTCAGGAAAATAAAACTGCTTTGCACATGTGTAACAACACTATGTGTACAATCCTATTTCCAAAAAGTTGCGACGCTGTGTAAATATAAATAAAAACACAATGCAGTGATGTTAAAAACATTTAAACCTTATATTTAATGGAAATTGATATTTAGACAACAAATGTTGAAACTTAGAAATGTTATTGTTTATTTAAAAAGATATGCCCATTTTGAATTTGATGCCAGCAAAACATTTAAAAAAACACTGAGACAGGGGCCTGTTTACCACTGAGTTTCAGCACCTCTTCTTTTAACAACACTGTAAGCGTTTGGGAACTGAGGAGACAAATTGCTGTAGTTTTGAAGGTGAAATGTTCTCATTCTTGCATCATATAGGATTTCAGCTGTTCAGCTGTTCAGCAGTTCGGGGTCTCCTTTCTCATTTGTTTGCAATAGACTTCAGGCAGGCCAGTTTAGCAACCAGACTCATTTACTACAGAGCCATGCTGATGTAATATGTGCAGAATGTGCTTTGGCTTTGTCTTCCTGAAATAAGCAAGCCCTTCCATGAAGACATAGTCTGGATGGCATATGTTGCTCCAAAGCATGTATATATCATTCAGTATTAATGATGCCTTCATCATTCATCAGTCACCCATTCCATGTGCACTAATTCACCCCCACAGCATCATGGATGCTGGCTTTTGAACTGTGTACTGATAAGCTGGATGGTCTCTCTCCTCTTTAGCCCAGAGGATGCACCAGTGATTCATACATACATACATATATCATCTAAACCGCTTATCCTTCTGGGTCGCGGTGGGTTGCTGGAGCCTATCCCAGCTGTCATTGGGCGGAAGGCAGGATACACCCTGGACAGGTCGCCAGTCCATCAATGATTTATGATTTCCAAAAAGAATTTCAAATTTTGATTTGTCAATTGGAATTTGACTTTTCCACTTTGCTTCAGTCCATCTTAAATGAGCTCAGGCCCAGAGAATTTCTGAATCCTATACATACATATGTAGTTTCTTCTTTTAATGGTAGAGTTTTAACTTGCATTTGTGAATGCAGCAACGAACTGTGTTCACAGACAGTGGTTGGTATTGTTTTTTGGCATTGTCCCCTGCATACAGAGATTTCTCTGTAATCTTCAGAGATTCGCTGAATCTTTTGATGATATTATGTACCTTAGATGATGAAATCCCAAAGTTCTTTGAGAAACATTATTCTTTAATTGTCACACTTTGCTTGAGCAGTCTTTCACAGAGTTGTGAACCCTACCCATCTTTTCTTCCGAAAGACTCGCCTCTCTGGGATGCTCTTTTTATACCCAATCATGATGCAGGCCTGTTGCCAATTAACCTAATTAGTTGTCAGATGTTCCACCAGGTGTTTTTTAGCATCACACTTTATCAGTGTTTTGTTGCCTCTGCCCCAACTTTTTAGGAATATGTTGACATCAAATTAAAAATGGGCATGTGTTTTTTTTAGAAATAATACAATTTCTCAGTTTCAACATTTGATATGTTACTTTTGTACAATTTTCAATTAAATGTAGGGTTTAAATGATTTCCACCTTTTTTGAAAATGGAGCTGTAGTAAGAGCAGTTCAGCAAGGTGATTTATCCAGTTCTCTGAAACGTTACAGATCATCGGACATGAACAACCAGAACTAAGAACAGGATTGAACAACAGCCAATGAAGGCACCTCATCCCAGTGTACAGGCAGAAACTCAAATTCAACAAGCCTGTCATCATAAAATTGTGGAACTGGACCAGTGGAGACATTGAAAAGGTACAGGGCTGCTTTGAATCCACAGACTAGATTGTTTTTAGAGAGGCAACAGAGAGTCTAGACAAATACACAGACACCTTGATATCATACATCAACTTCTGTGAGGACAGCTGTATTTCAACAATAGCACTGATGAAATACAGCGACAACAAACCAGTTTTTGCTGTATTTTGCAGATGTCACCATCTGTGGTGGACCTCATTGCCAACATTGATGAGTCTGCCTGTAGAAAGGTAGTTGAGCAGCTGGTCTCCTGGTGCAGCAGCAGCAGCCAACCGCTACTGAACACACAAAAGACTGTAGAAATC